AGGAATGCCTTAAAGTCTTTAAGAATATCTTAATAAACAAATATTTATTTGGTCCTCACACAGTATAGAGCATTGTGTTTACTGTGATTTACTGATGAAGTAAATATAGTCACTATTTTCAAAAAGAATCTTGGACTCTTGGCAGAGACAGACACAGGGAGCAGGCGAGAGCCCCATAAATTATATAAGAGTGATGTAAACTGGAAGACAAAAGGCTGATTATTAACTCAATATGCAATTATGCAGCTTTAGGTTTCACAGTATAACAATGGTATTGTGGTTTGTGCTGCTGTTCAATTCCATTTTAGGACTTAGGTTGATAGTAGAGTTCTTTTTCTATCTGAAATGGGAGAGAAGATTTAGATTGAGGGGGCACTTTAAAATCTTTCTTATAAAGGAGTCAGAATATTTTCTTGCATATCCTAGAATGTATTAGTACCCAGGGGTTCACAAAAAGGGATATGGGTAGAATTCAAGATTATAATCCCTTCATTTTATTGCTTCAGTGTATTCACAGAACATTAGAAAAATTGTGCATCTTTCTGGAGATCCTCGTCTATAAAAAATGACGAATGGTACTTCAGAAGCTTAAGTACTTTAAAAGTACCCTATTTTTTGGTTAACTAATAGATTAAAAGTATTGTATACACCACTTTGTTAAATTGATATTTTTGTTAAAAATAGCAAACTTTATTTAGCCTTATTTGCAGTACTATGCTTTAATTTCAGTTTCCTTGCAAAGAGAGGTGTGAGAGAAGACATAGCAACCTTTGATGCACGAAATATTCCAAAGGAAATAAGAGAGAGTGTTGAAGAACTTCTTTTTAAAAATAAAGGATCTTTTGATCCAAAGGTAATTTTTAACAGTTGTGCCATAAATTCCCTTTCCATACTATATAATATTCTGCTTGTCAAAATATGATGATTTATCATTATTGATTGTTTAGTTTACCTAAAAACTAAAAGTTCATTATAATAAGTTGTAAGTATTATAGCTGGGAAGCATTTACCAGAAGAATTAGGTAAACTATTGTAGAATCTAGGGAGTTGGGGGCAGGTTTATTATCTTAAGTGGTTTTTGAATCTTATGATCTGCTGTCAGCGGTAAGTTCCTAACTAATCATAACTTACAACTTGCCTGTATGCTTTTATTTCTTCTAGTATACTTGTCATATAATAACAGATATCTCTCTTGGGATACTTATATCTAATTTCAGTGAACAGTTAAAATTCCATGATTCTGGTCTTTTTTAGATCCTTTATTCAAAATGTCATGTACTTCTTCTTTGACACCAATAGCAATTGTTTGAAAATTTCTTTTATCTAATAAAGATCTATCTTGTATATTGCAGAGAAGGAATTGGTGCTTGAACATCGTTGTGGACGGCACATGTATTCATTTTAAACGTGGCTAATAATTACTTATGTCAATAAAATGTCATTATATTAAAGATTGTATGTGGTTCAGAAAGATTTATTCTTAAGAAAAAATAGAGTATATGTATTTTTCACTTAAAATAGCAATTCACTTTGTTTTTGCTATAAACCAAAAACTTCATTATTCGGGACAAGTTATTAAACAAATGCTTAAAGAAAATACACTAGAATTAACTTTGCTTTTATTTGAAATTAAGTTAGGATGTGGAATAATTTCTGATGTATTTTTCAGAATGCTAAGCGTGCCAGTACCGCAGCTGCTCCTTTAGCTGCCTGGGTTAAAGCCAATGTCCAGTACTCCCATGTCTTGGAGCGAATTCAGCCTTTGAAAACTGAACAGGCAGGATTAGAATCGTAAGTGAAACATAAAATATAAATAGTTCTAACCTTTATTTTCATCAATCTGATGACCTAGTTATTAGGATTTATTTCTTGTCTGTATCTAAAATGGCAGCTGACAACACTGAGTCATTTAAATACAAATTAAGAACATAGATCAAGATGATGGAGTGGAGGATGTGGAGCTCACCTCACCGCACAAGCACATCAAAAATACATCTACATGTGGAACAATTATCATGGGAAACTGACTAGAAACTGGCAGAAGAACTGTACAATTAAAGCTGCAAGAAAGATCTGTACATAATTGGGTAGGACAGAAAAAAAAGGCATTTGGTCAGGACCTGAGCCCCTAGGAAGGATCTGTAAGAAAGAGAAGTTCTCTATGGGTGGACCCTTGACTTGAAGAGCGAGGAGGTTGAGCTACACACTGGGCATACCAGTCCTGGGCTCCTGCGTGGAAGAGACAGTCCCCCTCGCCTGCTGGGAAATCTACTGAGACAGACAGAAGGGCTGGAAAAGCCTAGACTCTACTTGTGAGGAGTGCTCGCATGCTGGCTTGCTAACAATCAGGGTTGAGAGTTTTGCATTAATGGGTGCTGCCTTACCACACTTCCCAATCTGAATGGGCAAACAACCCAGGCCCACTCACTCCATCCCTGGTGCAAGATTTGCACACAGACTTGGTCTAGCTATGGAGAGACAGACTGGGGAGGCTGGGGTATGATCCGGTGGAGCCATGGAGGCCATTGTCAGTGTGCACATGAGCAGTGCCACAGAAATGCCCAGTGACTAAGCACTGAAGCTCAGGCAGACAGGCCTTGAGAGAGACACAGCCCGAGGGACTGGGGTGTGGTCCAGGTGGGACAGTAGCAGTTGTCATCAGCATGCTCAGGAGTACAGAGCCTTTCATCTCCCAGTGAGAGTACCCTGGCTCTGGCTCCACTCACTCCACACCACAGCTTAGCAGTAGATCTGGGGCAGACAGGTCCTGTGAGAACACTGCCACAGAGGCAGCCCAGATCTCTGGTGGCAGTGCAGTCACTTCAATTCCTGCAGCCACAACGCCCCAGCCCTCAGCCCCAGCCTACTTCAGACCATAGCCTTGCACTAGATCTCAGATGAACACAGCAGAGAAAGGGATTCAACCTTGGGCTGCTTCTGAGCAGAAATGTGAATGCCTACACAGGTGATGCATAGGTCCTCTGTGACTGCATGGGCCTTCCTTGCTTCAGCAATCACCTCCTTTTGGGCAGGGCTTGAACTCATGGACAGTGGAACCTGATTGAGCCTGACCATCAGGGCTTCTACTCCAACAACTAGGGAGCAGACCTCACCCCTGACAGGGCATTGACAGCCATGGAGCAGAGAAAAAGTCCCACTTCACATCTTGTACAGGCTCCAGATGCTACAACACCAGCCATACCACCTATCCAGGGGATAATAGCCCACACACCCTGAAGAATGATGTGGCTGGCGTCCAACTGAAACCAGCCCTCACACCAAAAATATTGGATTCACACAGTCTACACAGTGATGCTCCCACATAAAAACACCCCTTCAAGACCACAGCAGATAACTGTTTCTGCTAAATTCATAGAGACAAAGAAAGTTAAGTAAAATGAAAAGGGAGAGGAACTACTTCCAATTAAAAGAACAAGATAAATCCCCTGAAAGAACAAATAATGAAACAGACCATGCACCAGTCTACTAGACCCTGAATTCAAAAAGGAGGTAATAAAAATGCTAACTGAATTAAGAAAGATTATCGATAGAAACACAGATCACTGTAACAAGGACCTAGAAACTATAAAGAGGAACCAATCAAAAATAGACAATTCAATTCCCAAAATAAAACCAATCTAGAAGCAATGAATAGCAGACTAAATGACACAAAAGAATAAATAAGTGATCTGGAGATAGAATAATGGAAATCACCCAATCAGAACAGCAGACAGAAAGACAAATGAAAAAAAAAAAAATGAAATCAACATATCAGATCTATGGGATAATATAAAACATGCTAACCTATGCATGACAGGGGTTTCAGAAGGAGATGAGAGAAGGGGGTTGAAAATGTATTTGAAGAAAATATGGCTGAATACTTCTCAAACCTAAAGAAGGAAACAGATACCCAGGTACAGTAAGCACAGAGAGTCCCAAACAAGATGAACCCAAACAGACGCACACTAAATCATATATTAATTAAAATGGCAAAAGTTAAAAGAGAGGATTCTAAAGGCAGCAAGAGAAAAACCACCAAAAGGCTATCAGCTGATTTCTCTGCAGAAACTTTACAGGATAGTAGGGACGGCATGATATATTCAAAGTACTGAAGGGCAAAGCCTGCAACATAGGACGCTGTTCCTAGCAAGATTATCATTTGGAATAGAAGGAGAGCTAAAGAATTTTTCAGAGAAGCAAAAACTAAAAGAATTCAGCAATACTAAACCTACCCTAAAAGAAATATTGAAGGGTCTTCTCTAAATAGAAAAGAAGCAAGAATCTGTAGGAAAGGGAAAATCAGAATAGGAAAGGCAAATATAGAAGGAATCAAGATCACTTTTAAAAACCAATACATAGGGGCTTCCCTGGTGGCGCAGTGCTTGAGAGTCCGCCTGCCGATGCAGGAGACGCGGGTTCGTGCCCCGTTTCGGGAGGATCCCACATGCCGCGGAGCGGCTGGGCCCGTGAGCCATGGCCACTGAGCCTGCGCGTCCGGAGCCTGTGCTCCGCAAATGGGAGAGGCCACAACAGTGAGAGGCCCGCATAACGCAAGGAAACAAACAAAAAAAAAAAAACAAAAAACAAAACAAAAAAACCAATACATAGATTAAAAAATAATAATTGTGAAAATAATTTTAACTACAATTAACAGTAAAAGGATAGGCATTACAATGTAAAATAGGATATAAAAATCACAAAATGTAGGGGAGGGGAGTATAAAAATGTAGATTTTTAAAAAATACGAACTTGAATGACTATCAATTTAAAGCAAGTAGATATAGTTATGGGTCAACATACTTGAACTCCGTGGTAACCTCAAATCAGAAATGTACAATAGATTCACCAAAACCAAAAAGAAAGAGCTCAAGCATACTACAAAAGGAAAACATCAACCCCCTCCCCCTGCCAAAGGGAAAAAAATGCACAGAGAAGAACTATAAAAGCAACTGGAAAACAAGGATTAAAATGGCAGTACATGCATACTTATCAATAACTACTTTAAATGTCACTGGACTAAATGCTCTGATCAAAAGACAGAGTGGCAGATTGGAGGAAAAAACCAAGAAACTACAATTTGCTGCCTTCAGAAGACTAACATCAGGATGAAAGATACACATAGACTGAAAGGGGATGGAGAAAGAGAATTCATGCAAATGGAAACAACAAGAAAGTGGGGGTAACAATACTCCTATCAGACAAAATAGACTTTAAAACAAAAGCCATAAAGAAAGAAAAAGGGCATTATATAATGATAAAGTGATCAATATAAGAAGAGGATATTGCACTTGTACTGTAGGAGCACCGAAGTATATAAAACAAATGCTAGCAGACATAAAGGGAGAAATTGACAATGATACAATAATAGCAGGAGTCTTTAACACCCCACTGACATCAATGGACAGATCATCCAGACAGAACATCAATACGGCAAGAACGTTCTTAAATGATACAATAGAGCAGTTGGACTTAATTGATGTCTACAGGGCACTACATCCAAAACAAAAAACAAAAACAGAATACACATTCCTTTCAAGCTCACATAGAAGATTCTCTAGGATAGATAACATACTAGATCACAGAACAAGCCTCAACAAATTTAAGAGGATAGATATTACTTCAAGCATCTTTTCTGACCACAGTGGTATGGAACTAGAAGTAAACTACAGAAAGCAAAATAGGAAAAGAACAAACACATGGAGACAAAACAACAAGCTACTAAAAAGACAGTGGCTCAACAATGAAATCAAAGAATAAATCAGAAAATACCTTGAGACAAATGACAATGAAAACGCAACCTTACAAAATCTATGGGATGCAGCAAAATAGTTTTAAGAGGGAAATTTATAGTGATATACAGGCCTTCCTCAAGTAACAAGAAAAATCTCAAACAACCTAACCTACCACCAAAATGAATAAGAAAGAGAAGGATAAACAAAATCCAAAGTTAACAGAAGGAACGAAATAATAAAGATCAATGGGAAATAAATAAAATAAGAGATCAAAAAATAATAGAAAAGATCAATAAAACCAAGAGCTGGTAGTTTGAAAAGGTAAATCAACAAACCTCCAGAGAGACTCACCAAGAACAAAAGAGAAAGGACTCCAATAAGTAAGATAAGAAATTAAAGAGGAGAAATAACAACTGATACCAGAGAAATACAAAAAATTATAAGAATACCATGAACAGTTTTATACTAACAAATTAGACAACCTAGAAGAAATGAACAAGTTTATAGGAACATGCAGCCTGCAAAAATTGAGTCAAGAAGAAATGGATAACTTGAACAGACTTATCACTAGAAGTGCAGTAGAATATGTAATTAAAAAAACAAAAACAAAAACAAAAAAACTCCCTGCAAACAAAAGCCCTGGACTGGATGGCTTCACTGGGAAATTTTACCAAACATACAAGGAGGAACTCATACCAGTCCTTCTAAAACTATTCCAAAAAATTGAAGAGGAGGGAACACTTCTAAATTCAATCTGTGAGACCACTGTTATCCTGACACCAAAACCAGACAAAGACACTACAAAAAAAGAAATTTACAGGCCAATATCTTTGATGAATTTAGACGTAAAAATCTTCAGCAAAGTATTAGCAAATTGAATCCAACAATACATGAAAAGGATCATACACCATGATAAAGTTGGGTTCATTCCAGGATCACAAGGATGGTTCAAAATATGTGAATCAATCGGTGTGATACACCACATTAACAAAAGCAAAGACAGAAACCACATCATCATCTCAATAGTTGCAGAAAAAGCATTTGACAAAGTTCAATATCCATTCATGATAAAAACTCTCACCAAAATGGCTATATAGGGAACATATCTGAACATAATAAAAGCCATTTATGACAGACCCATAGCCAACATAATACTCAATGGTGAAAACCTGAAAGGCTTCCTGGTAAATTCAAGAACAAGACAAGGATATCCACTCTCACCAGTTCTATTCAACATTGTAGTGGAAGACCTAACTACAGCAGTTGGACAAGAAAAAGAAGTAAAAGTTTTACGAATTGGAAGGAAAGATTGAAAACTGTCACTACTTCAGATGACATGATACTCTATAAAGAGGACCCCAAAGTCTCCACACAAAATCTATTAGAACTAATAAATGAGTTCAGAAAGGTAGCAGGATACAAGATTAATACATGGAAATTTGTTGTGTTTCTTTACACTAACAATTAAATATCAGAAAGAGAAAGCAAAAAAAGAAAAAAAATCTTGTTTAAAATCGTGTCAAAAAAAGTAAAATACCTAGGAATAAATTTAACTGAGGAGGTGAAAGACGTATATGCTGAAAGCTGTAAAACATTGGTATAAAGTAAATTGAGGATGATTCAAAGAGACAAAAAGATATCCAATGCTCTTGGATTGGAGGAATTAATACTGTTAAAATGACTATACTACCCAAAGTAATATACAGATTTAATGTAATCTCTATCAAAATACTCATGACATTTTTCACAGAACTAGAAAAAATAATCCTAAAATTTATATGGAACCCCAAAAGACCCAGAATTGCCAAAGCAATCCTGAGGAAAAAGAACAAAGTTGGAGGCATACCCCTTCCAGACCTCAGACTATACTACAAAGCTACAGTAATCAAAACGGTGTAGTATTGGCACAAAAACAGACATATAGATCAATGGAACAGAATAGACAGCCCAGAAATAAGCCCATGCACCCATGATCTATGACAAAGGAGGCAAGAATATACAATGGAGAAAAGACAGTTTCTTTAACAAGTGGTGTTGGGAAAACTGGACAGCTACATGTAAATCAATGAAATTAGAACACTTCCTCACACCATATACAAAAATAAACTCAAAATAGTTTAAAGACCTAAATATAAGACATGACACATAAAACTCCTAGAAGAGAACATAGGCAAAAACATTTTCTGACATAAATCATAGCAATATTTTCTTGGATCAGTCACATAAGGCAAAAGAAATAAAAGCAAAAATAAACAAATGGCACCTAATCAAACTGAAAAGCTTTTGCACAGCAAAGGAAGCCATCAACAAAATGAAAAAAAAACCTACAGAATGGGAAAAAAAATATTTGCAAGCAGTGTGACTGACAAGGGGTAAATATGCAAACAATTCATATAACTCATTAACAAAAAAATAAACAACCCAATCAAAAAATGGGCAGAAGGCCTAAATAGACATTTCTTCAAAGAAGACATACAAATGGCCAACAGGTACATGAAAAGATGCTCATCATCACTATTAGAGAAGTGCAAATCAAAACCCCAATGAGGTATCACCTCACACAAGTCAGAATGGCTATCATCAAAAAGTCCACAAATAATAAATGCCAGAGAGGGTGTGGAGAAAGGGAACCCTCCTACACTGTTGGTGGGAATGTAAACTGGTGCAGCCATTATGGAAAACAGTATGGAGGTTCCTCAAAAAACTAAAAGTAGAGCTACCATATGATCTTGCAATCCCACTCCTGGGCATATATCTGGAGAAAACCATAATTTGAAAAGATACAGGCACCCCAGTGTTCATTGCAGCACTGTTTACAATAGCCAAGACATGGAAGCCACCTAAATGTCCATCGACAGATGAATGGATAAAGAAGATACACAAAATGAATCTATATACAAAACAGAAGCAGACTTACAGACATATAATACAAATTTATGGTTACCAAAGGAGAGAGAGAATGAGGGATAGATTAGGCATATATTATTAAAAGACATAAACTATTATACATAAAATAGATAAGCAACAAGGTTTTACTATATAGCACAGGGAATTTTCTTCAATATCTTATAATCTACGATGGAATATAATCTGCAAAAACAAAAAATAAAACTGGATCACTATGCTGTACACCTGAAACTAACACAGTATTATAAATTAACTATACATCACTAAAGAAAAAGAAAAAAAAATGAAAAGTTAAACAGAACAAAAAAAGAAAAAGCAATTAAAAGATGTATAGCAGAATCAACTCACTTTTTTCCTCCTGTGTTAAGTTGTTGGAAAGATAAGTTGGTAGAAGTTCCTTTAGAAAGAGCCAAAATTTTGTGAAGGAATACTGTCAAAGTACAAAAAGTAGATTTTAGAAATTTAGAGCTTTTATATTTTTTTCCTCTAAGTTTTAGGAAGCTTTTAGTATATTATTTCCAAAACATTATCTGGCAGGTGTGGGGAAAATTTAACAATTTACTTTTGGGACTTAAACTTTTAATTTGCTATTGTTATTAAGTATTATATTTTATCTCATTTGTTCTAAATGCAGACTAAGAGATATTTTATGTTCATGATCATTCAACTTTTGAAATTATCTCTTACTTCTTACTCTACACAAGGAGATTTTTAGCTGCCTAAGTTTCTTATTTTTTTCAATATAATTACATGAAATGTTTGTGTTAAATTATATTAAATATTATATACTTTGATTATATAAATATTTTTTACAGCTTGGACATATCATGTTTTATGAGTATATTTCCTTTCTTGTATACCTTTTGTTATGCTTAATAATTGCCTTATTTTTTCAATTGATTATTTTTTTTCTGTTTATGTATCACATATTTATCCACAGTCTTTTTGTCAGACCCTAAAATGTATTTGGAATCTATGTGTTCTATTTAATTTTTTCTTAGTACTCTCCTACTTAGAGCCTTTTGTCCTCCTGTTTCAAGGTGAGTTAGTTCTTCCCTAGGCCTGCAGTCTACAGCTTAAGTTATCTTGAGATTGCTTTTCACCATTATTCTGGGGTTATATTTGTCTCTTTTCTGATCATATTCTCTTATTTTGGGTCTTTGTCTTTCTCTTTCTTAGTTTAGTCCCTCATTTTTCTGGAACACATAGTAGCTTCTTAAGCAAGGTTATATGGGATGAAAAATATTTTGAGATTTGCATGTCTAAAATTATCTGTATTATACTATTATATGTGATCATAATTGGGCTGGGCTTAAAATACTAGACTAGAAATAAATTAATCTCATGATTTTGAAGGCCATATTCTATTATAGTAGTTTTCAAAATGTGGTCCCTGAACCATCAGCATCAATGTTACCTGGGAAATTGTTAAAAGAGCAAATTTTTGATCTCCATCAAGGCTTATTGAATCAGATATGCTGGGGAATGAGACCTTGCAATCTGTGTTTAGACAAAAACTCAAGTTGATTTGTGCAATGCACAAATGCCCAGCAGTGCATGGCAGTGTGGATTGGCCATTTGATGACAACCTCTCAATATTTGTGGGTACTTTTGAGAGGGGTAAGCCAGTCATTTCTCTAGAAGAATCCTACTATCTTCTGCCTAGGGATTGAGTAGGGGTGGTTGGGGGTGGGTAAGAGCAATAAGGTTTGACTTTCAGGGATGTATGTAGAGGATAGTCTGCTCTCAATGCAGGAGGGAATCTGAGGTCAAATGTTATATTATCAATTATTAAACAATCTTCTGTATTTAGCTCTATTATTTTCTTCAGAGGTACCTGTTGTCTACATTTCCTGAACATTTTTGAATACTTCTTTTCACCTATCTTCCTGCAGTCATTTAACTTTTGCCCTTTTGCATTTTGATATGTCAGTTATGACCTTTCAAAATTTTATTAAAATTACTCCTTAGTAGTACTTTTCTCTTTCATTGTCTTTATTCTTGTGCATGTATGTTTTAATTTATTCCCTTGGTTTCATTTTAGTAGGATTTTAGAAGGGAAAGAAGATAAGTGAATACTTTTAGTCTTCCATTTTTATCTAGAAATCTGTGGGCACAAGTGTTTTAAAATATAGATTCCTGGAAGTGGTATGGTTAGGTCAGAGAATACACTTTTAATTATAGCATGGCTTTTCAAATCAAATTCTAAGTGAAGGTATTATAACTACTGAATTATTGATAGTTTTCATTGTCATCTATTTACTGCACAATTACATTTTAAGGTGCTGTTGTGGCTTTTTGTTGATAACTAGAGTAGAATGACTTATAAAATTGAATTATATTTTAGAAATTTGCAGAAAACTGAAGACAGAAAAAGGAAACTAGAGGAGCTTCTTAATTCTGTTGGTCAAAAAGTGTCAGAACTCAAAGAAAAGTAAGTTAAGTTTTGAAATGTATTTTGAATATTTGAAAACATACCTCAGCTAATACATAAATTTTGAAAACCTTAGTTATAATCACTGTCCTAATTTTTTGGTATCTCACTCTAAAAAGGGGAAGGATGTAAAATAATATAGAATGTCTTTCTTTTAAAAAACATTTAATAAGAACAAAAATATTTTAAGTTTCTATGTTCCCAAGCATTGGAAAATTGAGCAGGAAGAATTGAACGTAATGTGTTAATGCTGGGAGTGTTTACATTTGGTATTCCCATTTCTTTCTTATTTTGACTTCAAGATTTTAGACTCCTTTATCTCAGATGATGCTATAGGACCACCTAATTCCATAATCTTTCCAGAGGTATATAATCATGTTAAAAAATTTTTATCTTTTTAACTTTGCCCTTTTTGGTATTACAAATATTCCTTCATGCAAATATTATTCTCAAATTTAAGAAACATTTATGAATGTGATTAATCTTAAAACCTTTCCTGTACCTCTGTGTTCCTGTGATTGCCTTTTAATATAGGATAGAAAATATTGGTATGGGAATTATTATAAATGTGGAAGCATTTTCCTTTAAGAATTGTGAAGATTGAAAAACTGGAGAATGTGTCATTAAATATAGCATATGTTATCACTTGCTTTCAGTTTTATGAGACTAAAACTTTTCTATAAACATATTTTTTCTTTAAGTGGTGTGTTATGTATCCTTTTCTTTCTTATGAAAAAATACAAATTATTGCACCAAGAAAAAAATTCATCAGACTGAAAACTATGAGTTTTTTTTTCTATACAGAGTTAGGAAACAGTTATCTCTGTTTACATTTATTTATATTTACTTATAGAGAATAAACAAAAAAATCTTCAAACCCATAAATTCAATGTTTTTCATATTCCTGAATTTTTTTTTATGTTAGACATACAGAAATGAAATCACATAATTTCTTTCCTGGTATAATTAGAGAAGTATAAGGAAAATAATATATTCTTTTCAGTGTTACATGCTCAGAATCAGTACTTAATAATACTCAGATAATTGTCAAATATTTATTGAGTGGTTAGCTTATGATACCAATGTTTGATTCCATTTGTTAGTCATTTGCATGTGTCAGGTGCTGTCCTAGGCACTTTACATATTCATCATTTTTAATACTTAAAACAACACTGAGAGGTGGATATTCTTACATTTTGCAGATTAGGAAGCTAAAGATTGGAAAGATTTATTTGCCTGAGTTAAGCAGTTAGTAAATGACTAAGCAAGCATTAGATCTTGTATTTGTCTGACTCCATAAAGTTCCTCTTCTTAGTCACTACACTATACTACCAGTATTTTGGAAGTATTATTATGAAAACCTTCTGAATGATATGACTGAGGACCTTGTGGATAATGTGACTGAGGAATTGAATTTTTAATTTTATTTAGTTTTAATTAAATTTAGACAGCCATATATGGCTACCATTTTGGACAAGTGACTCCTAGAGTCTTATGTCTAGGGAAGGGAGGAATAGAGCACTTAGGCAATAAAAGTACTGTAAAATGCCTGGAACTTAATATCAGACACACCCATATATGAATTTTAGATCCTCTGCTTACTGTTGGGGAGACCTGTGCAATAATCTGTTTGGATTTAAGTCTCCATATTTATAAAATGAGAATTGTAATACTTATTTTGAACTGTTCTGAGAATTGGCAGAATCCTGAGCATTTTGAAGGCACTTACATATTTGTTGAAGGACTAAGTAATAGGAATATTACTATTATATTTAATAAAATAATATATATGCACAAGTATTTTTAAGGAAAATAATTTAAAAGTTTTAAACTTTGGCAAATGGGCACATAGGGAGAGAACATATCTAATGGGCTGAATATATCAGGTTAGTTTTAAGATTTTATTTATATTTTTGATAGGTATATATTTGAGGGAGTTAGAGTGAGGTGTGAGGTAGGGATAAGGAAGGAGCTGGAAAGTATTCTAGGCAAATGGAACATCCTGTTGAAGGGCACAGCAGATAAAAGATAGGGCATTTTCTGAGAATATAAAATTCTTCAGATGTTGACATATAGTTTTACTGAACTGAGTAAAATAAAATAAAACAGAAAAGATAGATCAATATTATGACTGGTCCTTTGAATGTCATATTCATAAGTTTATACATAATGTAGTAGGACATCAAGGCCCTGTGAGAATGTTCCCCTTTAAATGTATGTGTTGGTATTGTGTCTCTTACATTAATGATATTTTATATGCAAATATTATCAATATTATAGTTAATTAAATTATTGTATAAAAGTTCACTTTACTATATAAGCATAATTTAATTAAATCTATCTTAAATCCAATTGTCTTTAATTAAGCTTTAATGTTTTCATAGATTTCAGAGCAGGACTTCAGAAGCTGCCAAACTTGAAGCTGAAGTAAGAAAAGCACAAGAAACAATTAAAGCTGCAGAAGTCTTGATTAATCAGCTTGACAGAGAACACAAGAGATGGAATGCACAGGTTTGTTTGAAAGAGAGGTCATAAAGAGGCATTGTTTAAAACACAGGAAATGTGTAAGATAATATATTTGTTAACAAAATGAAAAGGAAAAAATATCCATTAAATTTCAGCCCCGGCTTAGGATAAATTATCTAGATATTAACGGCCATTGTGAATTAATCTTTTTTTTTTAACATCTTTATTGGAGTATAATTGCTTTACACTGGTGAGTTAGTTGCTGCTGTATAGCAAAGTGAATCAGCTATACATAAACATATATCCCCATATCTCCTGCCTGCGGCTCCCTCCCACACTTCTATCCCACCCCTCTAGGTAGGTGGACACAAAGCACCGAGCTGATCTCCCTGTGCTATGGGACTGCTTCCCACTAGCTATCTGTTTTACATTTGGTAGTGTATATATGTCCATGCCACTCTATCACTTCGTCCCAGCTTACTCTTCCCCCTCCCTGTGCCCTCAAGTCCATTCTCTATGTCTGCGATTTTATTCCTTTCCTGCCCCTAGGTTCTTCAGAACCATTTTTTTTAGATTCCATATATGTGTGTTAGCATATGGTATTTGTTTTTCTCTTTCTGACTTACTTCACTCCGTATGACAGTATCTATGTCCATCTACCTCATTACAAATAACTTAGTTTTGTTTCTTTTTATGCCTGAGGAATATTCCATTGTATATATGTGCCACATCTTCTGTATCCATTCATCTGTTGATGGACACGTAGGTTGCTTACATGTCCTGTCTATTGTAAATAGTGCTGCAGTGAAAATTGTGTTACATGTCTCTTTTTGAATTATGGTTTTCTCAGGGTATATGCCCAGTAGTGGGATTGCTGGGTCGTATTGTAGTTCTCTTTATAGACTTTTCACCATTGTATAATCTTGCCTCCTTTATCAAAAATAAGATGACCATATGTGTGTGGATTGATCTCCGGGCTTTCTATCCTGTTCCATTGATCTATATTTCTGTTCTTGTGGCAATACCATTCTGTCTTGATTACTGTGGCTTTGTAGTATAGTCTGAAGACAGGGAGCCTGATTCCTCCAGCTCCAGTTTTCTTTCTCAAGATTGCTTTGGCTATTCGGGGTCTTTTGTGTTTCCATACAAATTGTGAAATTTTTTGTTCTAGTTCTGTGAAAAATGCCATTGGTAGTTTGATAGGGATTGCACTGAATCTGTAGATTGCTTTGGGTGGTATAGTCATTTTCACAAAGTTGATTCTTCCAATCCAGGCACATAGTATATCTCTCCATCTGTTTGTATTATCTTTAATTTCTTTCATCAGTGTCTTACAGTTTTCTGCATACAGGTCTTTTGTCTCCTTAGGTAGGTTTATTCCTAGGTATTTTATTCTTTTTGTTGCAATGGTAAATGGGAGTATTTCCTTAATTTCTCTTTCAGATTTTTCATCATTAGTGTATAGGAATGTGGGAGATTTCTGTGCATTAATTTTGTATCCTGCTACTTTACCAGATTCATTGATTAGCTCTAGTATTTTCTGGTAGCATCACTGTGATTCTTTATGAATAGTATCATGTCATCTGTAAACAGTGACAGTTTTACTTCTTCTTTTCCAATTTGGATTTGTTTTATTTCTTTTTCTTGTCTGATTGCTGTGGCTAAAACTTCCAAAACTATGTTGAATAATAGTGGTGAGAGTGGGCAACCTTGTCTTTTTCCTGATCTTAGTGGAAATGGTTTCAGTTTTTCACCATTGAGAATGATGTTGGCTGTGGGTTTGTCATATATGACCTTTATTATGTTGAGGTAAGTTCCCTCTATACCTATGTTCTGTAGAGTTTTTATCATAAGTGGGTGTTGAATTTTCTCGAAAGCTTTTTCTGCGTCTATTGAGATGATCATATGGTTTTCTCCTTCAGTTCGTTAATATGCTTTATCACATTGATTGAATTTCATATATTGAAGAATCCTTGCATTCCTGGGAGAAATGCCACTTGATCAGGGTGTATGATCCTTTTAATGTGCTGCTGGATTCTGTTTGCTAGTATTTTGTTGAGGATTTTTGTATTTATGTTCATCAGTGATATTGGTCTGTAATTTTCTTTTATGGTGACATCTTTGGTTTTGTTATCAGGGTGATGGTGGCCTTGTACGATGAGTTTAGGAGAGTTCCTCCCTCTACTATATTTTGGAAGAGTTTCAGAAGGATAGGTGTTAGCTCTTCTCTAAATGTTTGATAGAATTTGCCTGTGAATCCATCGAGTCCTGAGCTTTCGTTTGTTGGAAGATTTTTTTTTTTTTTTTTTTTTTTTGCAGTACGCAGGCCTCTCACTGTTGTGGCCTCTCCCATTGCAGAGCACAGGCTCCGGATGCGCAGGCTCAGCAGCCATGGCTCACGGGCCCAGCCGCTCCGCGGCATGTGGAGTCTTCCCAGACCAGGGCACGAACATGTGTCCCCTGCATCAGTAGGCGGACTCTCAACACTGCGCCACCAGGGAAGCCCTGTTGGAAGATTTTTAATCACAGTTTCAATTTCAGTGCTTGTGATTGGCCTGTTTATATTTTCTGTTTCTTCCTGGTTCAGTCTCGGGAGGTTGTGCTTTTCTAAGAATTTGTTCATTTCTTCCACGTTGTCCATATCATTGGCATATAGTTGCTTGTAGTAATCTCTCATGATCCTCTGTTTTTCTGCAGTGTCAGTTGTTACTTCTTCTTTTTCATTTCTAATTCTGTTGATTTTAGTCTTCTCCCTTTTATTCTTGATGAGTCTGGCTAATGGTTTATCAATTTTGTTTATCTTCTCAAAGAACCAGCTTTTAGTTTTATTGATCTTAGCTATTTTTTTCTCCATTTCTTTTTCATTTATTTTGAATCTGATATTTATGATTTCTTTCCTTCTGCTAACTTTGGGATTTTTTTGTTCTTCTTTCTCTAACTGCTTAAGGTGTAAGTTTAGGTTGTTTATTTGAGATATTTCTTGTTTCTTGAGGTAGGATTATATTGCTATAAACCTCCCTCTTAGAACTGCTTTTGCTGCATCCCCTAGGTTTTGGGTTGTAGTGTTTTCATTGTCACTTGTTTCTAGGTTTTTTTCTTTGATTTCTTCAGTGATCTCTTGGTTATGTAGTAGTATATTGTTTAGCCTTCATGTGGTTGTATTTTTTACAGATTTTTTTCCTGTAATTGATATCTAGTTTCATAGCATTGTGGTCGGAAAAGATACTTGATACAATATCAATTTTCTTAAATTTACCAAGGCTTGATTTGTGACCCAAGGTATGATCTATCCTGGAGAATATTCCATTAGCACTTGAGAAGAAAGAGTATTCTGTTGTTTTTGGATGGAATGTCCTTTAAATATCAATTAAGTCCATCTTGTTTAAGGTATCATTTAAAGCTTGTGTTTCCTTATTCATTTTCATTTTGGATGATCTGTCCATTGGTGAAAGTGGGATGTTAAAGTCCCCTACTATGATTGTGTTACTGCCGATTTCTCTGTTTATGGCTGTTAGTATTCGTCTTAAGTATTGAGGTGCTCCTATGTTTGGGTGCATAAATATTTACAATTGTTATATCTTCTTCTTGGATTGATCCCTTGATCATTATTTAGTGTCCTTCTTTTTCTCTTGTAATAGTCTTTATTTTAAAGTCTATTTTGTCTGATATGAAAATTGCTACTCCAGCTTCCTTCTGATTTGCATTTGCATGGAATATCTTTTTCCATCCCCTCACTTTCAGTTTGTCTGTGTCCCTAGGTCTGAAGTGGGTCTATTGTAGACTGCATATATATAGGTCTTGTTTTTGTACCCATTCAGGTGTCTATGTGTTTTGGTTGGAGCATTTAATCCATTTACATTTAAGGTAGTTATCAATATATGTGTTCCTATTACCATTTTCTTAATTGTTTTGGGTTATTGTAGGTCATTTCTTTCTCTTGTGTTTCCTGCCTAGAGAAGTTCCTTTAGGATTTGTTGTAAAACTGGTTTGATGGTGCTGAATGCTCTTAGCTTTTGTTTGTCTGTAAAGGTTTTAATTTCTCCATCGAATCTGAATGATATCCTTTCTGGGTAGAGTAATCTTGGTTGTAGGTTTTTCTCTCATCACTTTAAATATGTCCTCTCACTCCCTTCTGGTTTGCAGAGTTTCTGCTGAAAGATCAGCTGTTAACCTTATGGGGATTCCCTTGTATGTTATTTGTTGCTTTTCCCTTGCTGCTTTTAATATTTTTTATTTGTATTTCATTTTTAATAGTTTGATTAATTTGTGTTGTGGTGTATTTTTCCTTGGATTTATCCTGTATGGGACTCTCTGCGCTTCCTGGACTTGATCGACTATTTCCTTTCCCATATTAGGGAAGTTTTCAACTATAATCTCTTCAAATATTTTCTCAGTCCCTCTCTTTTTCTCTTCTTCTTCTGGGACCCCTATAATTCGAATGTTGGTGCATTTAATGTTGTCCCAGAGGTCTATGAGACTGTCTTAAATTCTTTTCATTCTCTTTTCTTTATTCTGCTATGCAACAGTTATTTCCGCTGTTTTAACTTTCAGGTCACTTATCTGTTCTTCTCCCTCAGTTATTCTGCTATTGATTCCTTCTAGAGAATTTTTAAGTTCATATATTGTGTTGTTCATCATTGTTTGTTTGCTCTTTAGTTCTTCTAGTTCCTTGTTAAACGTTTCTTGTGTTTTCTCCATTCTATTTCCAAGATTTTGGATCATCTTTACTATGATTACTCTGAATTCTTTTTCAGGTAGACTGACTATTTCCTCTTCATTTGTTTGGTTGGGTGGGTTTTTACATTGCTCCTTCATCTGCTGTGTATTTCTCTGTCTTCTCATTTTCTTAACTTACTGTGTTTGGGGTCTCCTTTTTGCAGGCTGCAGGTTCGTAGTTCCTGTTGTTTTTGGTGTCTGCCTCCAGTGGGTAGGGTTGGTTCAGTGGGTTGTGTAGGTTTCCTGGGGGAGGGGACTGGTGCCTGTGTTCTGGTGGATGAGGCTGGATCTTGTCTTTCTGGTGGGCAGGTCCACGTCTGTTGGTGTGTTTTGGGTTGTCTGTGACTTATTATGATTTTAGGCTGCCTCTCTGCTAACGCGTGGGGTTGTGTTCCTCTCTTGCTAGTTGTTTCGCATAGGGTGTCCAGTGCTCTAGCTTGCTGGTCGTTTAGTGGAGCTGGGTCTTCACGTTCAGATGGAGATCTCTGAGAGAGCTTTTGCTGTTTGATATTACGGGTGGGGCCGGGAAGTCTCTGGTGGACCAATGTCCTGAACTCAGCTCTCCCACCTCAGATGCTCAGGCTTGACACCTGGCTAGAACAGCAAGACTCTGTCAGCCACACGGCTCAGAAGAAAAGGGAGAAAAAAAAGAAAGAATGAAAAAAATTAAATTGAAAAATATTATTAAAAACAAAAAAATAAAAAATAATGAAAAAAGAGTAACCAATCCAAAAAACAAATCCACCAATGATAACAAGCACTAAAAAGTATACTAAAAAAAAAAAAAGCCGCACAGAACCCTAAGACAAATGATAAAAGCAAAGCTATACAGACAAAATTACACAAAGAAGCATATCCATACACAGTCGCAAAAGGAGAAGAAGGAAAAATATTTATATATGTATAAAAAACGAAGAATTCAACCAAATCAGTAAATAAATCTGCCAGTGATAATAAGCTCTAAATACTAAACTAAGATAAACATAAAACCAGAAACAAATTAGATGCAGAAAGCAAACCCCAAGTCTGCAATTACTCCCAAAGTCCACTGCCTCAGTTTTGGGATGTTTCGTTGTATATTCAGGTTTTCCAAAGATGCAGGGTACGTCAAGTTGATTGTGGAGTTTTAATCCACTGCTCCTGAGGCTTCATGGAGAGATTTCCCTTTTTCTTCTTTGTTCGCCCAGCTCCTGGGGTTCAGCGTTGGATTTGGCCCTGCCTCTGCTTGTAGGTTGCCTGAGAGCATCTCTTCCCTGCCCAGACAGGACAGGATTAAAGCAGCAGCGTATTAGGGGTCTGTTGCTCACTCAAGCCAGGGGGAGGGAGGGGTACGGAATGTGGATTGAGCCTACAGCGGCAGAGGTCAGCATGATGTTGCAACAGCCTGAGGCATGCCATGTGTTCTCCTGGGGAAGTTGTTCCTGGATCACAGGACCCTGACAGTGGCGGGCTGCACAGGCTGCCGGGAGGGGAGGTGTGGATAGTGACCTGTGCTCGCACACAGGCTTCTTGGTGGCGGCAGCAGCAGCCTTAGCATCTCATGCCCATCACTGGTGTCTGCACTGATAGCCTTGGCTAGCGCCTGTCTCTGGAGCTCATTTACATGGTGCTCTGAATCCCCTCTCCTTGCACACTCCGAAACAATGGTGTCTTGCCTCTTAGGCAGTTCCAGACATTTTCCCAGACTCCCTCCTGGCTAGCTGAGGTGCACTGGCCCCCTGCCGGCTGTGTTCACATGGCCAACCCAAGTCCTCTCCCTGGCATCTGACCTCTGAAACCCGAGTCTCCACTCCTAGCCCCAACCTGTCCCTGTGGGTGAGCAGACAGGCCTCTCAGGCTGGTGAGTGCTGGTCGGCAGCGATCCTCTGTGCGGGAATCTCTCTGTTTTGCCCTCCGCACCCCTGTTGCTGCGCTCTCCTCCATGACTCTGAAGCTTCTCCCCCCGGCCACCCCCTGTCTCCACCAGTAAAGGGGCTTCCTAGTGCGTGGAAATTTTTCCACCTTCACAGCTCCCTCCCACTGGTGCAGGTCCCATCCCTGTTCTTTTGTCTCTGTTTTTTCTTTTTTCTTTTGCCCTACCCAGGTACATGGGGAGTTCTTTGCCTTTTAGGAAGTCTGAGGTCTTCTACCAGTGTTCAGTAGGTGTTCTGTAGGAGTTGTTCCACATGTAGATGTATTTCTGATGTATTTGTGGGGAGGAAGGTGATCTCCATGTCTTACTCCTCTGCCATCTTGAAGCTCTGCCATGAATTAAATTTTAAGCAAAATATCTTTATATGAATGGATTTTAGACAAAGCATCCTATTTCTCTTTTAGTTAGGAAAAGGTAGTGGTAAAAATGAGTTGTGGAGAACTTAGTACTGTTTAGAGCCTTTTTTGGATTTACCTTTACCAAGACAGTCCTCTTAGGATTTGACACTGTCAACTATTTATTTGTGTTTGAAATTCTCTCTTATTTCAACTTTGTTAAAGTGTTGTCTCTTGTTTTGGTTCATTTGTTTTGATTTTGTTTTTGTTTTAAGCAGTTAGATTCCTGCCTTTGCTGGATCCTCCTCATCTGCTTATCCAATAATGTTGATTGCCTCCTCAGTATTCTCTTTCTCAGCTCCTTTCTGTGCAAATATTCTCAGAATTCTCATCCAGTCTTAAGAATATCACCCAAATGATGATGCTGACCAGAGCTATGTTTCTAATCTGCTGACTTTTAAATTCATATTTGTAACTACACCTTAGATATTGGCATTCAGCTGTCTCCGGAACTCAATTACATGTCTAAATTAACTTATTTTCTTTTCTCATATGAAATCTCTTTTATTTCCTATGTCTCATAAGGCGTCTTTCTTATAGGCATCAAAACTAAAAATATGTGGATTATCTTAGACTCCTTCTATTAATTTGTATCCCTTTGCAAATATCCCTCATATTTGTCTTCCCTCCTTAATGCTCTTCTTTTTCTTTTTTCACCTGAATTCTCCTGACTTGTCTTTCTCCTATCTGACCCTTTAATTAGTTGATTCTTATTTGTCAGCTGAACTATCTTTCTAAAACCCAGTCTCATTACATCACTCACTGCTCTGTTTAAACACTTTCAGTGGCTCATTATTACCGCAGGTTAAAACTGAAGCTACTTTGCGTGGCATGGGAAGACTTTCAAATCTTCCTCCTTCCAATCAATTCTGTGTTTCTCTTTTCATTATTCCTATTTTGGTACTCTTTCTGCTCAGGCTTATGCATTAGCCACACTATGCTTCTAGTTAAAGAGTCTCCATGCTTAATTTTTGTTTTTTACCTTTGCTCATACTCTGTGTTTCTAAACCATGTTTTACAAAGTGATGCTAATTCACAGTATTTATCAGAATTATTAGGAAATTTCAATGACAAAATATATTCTTCTTTCCAGATATGTTGGGATTTTATACATTGTTTTAATATCACAGCAAGGTCTGAGGTCTTGTTGGTATTTTTACATTTTGACAATTTTGTTCAGACATGTTATTACTTTAAACCAATAAATGATTTTTTCTGTAGTCAAAACTTCAATTTGTGAAGCTATTAATATTTTTTTCTATCTTAGAACATATCTATATGTTGCTCTCTCTCTCTCCACTTTTTTTCCAGGTTACAGAGATAACAGAGGAATTAGCTACTCTTCCTAAAAGAGCTCAGCTAGCTGCTGCATTTATTACATATCTTTCTGCTGCTCCTGAGGGTCTGAGAAAAACCTGTTTGGTAGAATGGACCAAGTCAGCTGGTCTTGAAAGTTTGTATTTAGTTATTCATAAATTTGAAATTTCAGTATACTAAAAAGCACATCTTTTGATTTTTGTCATTTTACTTTTTTTTAAATGAGGAAAATTTTCTGTAAGTTAAAGCATACCATAACTACTTTAGATTTGCTAAATTCTACAAATGTTCTGAGAATCGCTTTATTATAATGACTCTTCTACCCATAAAATCTCTTTTTGAAACTGACACCACTGAATTATTTTGATGTTGTATGAATGCAGTTAAACATTTTATTAATTTTTACACTAATTTCGTATGGTAAGATGAGATGTAGGAATTCCAAAATTCTTTGTGAATTTTGTGGTTTTCACAAATTATTATAGTTGTGAAACATTCATTTGATAGAAGAAATATAATTTGAGTTTCATTCCTTTGCACTTTTTAAAACTTGTTTTCTCTTTAGTTTCTGATTCTAAATGCAGAAGAATGGATTGCATATTAAGAATGATCATGGGACTTTTGTTTGAGTATATTATAAATAGTTTTATTTCCTTTCTTTTATCAAGCATAAGATTATTGTAGTAAAGTATTATTGATATCTTAATTTTTCAGAATTTGATTTGAGGAGATTTCTTTGTACTGAAAGTGAACAGTTAATTTGGAAAAGTGAAGGCCTACCATCAGATGACCTTTCCATAGAAAATGCTCTTATTATCTTACAGGTAATTAATCTACTTTAATCTTCTCATTAGAAATGTTTCTTTTGAAGCTTGCTCCATGAAGTACTTTCTTCAAATCCTTAGGCTTTCACAGTTAGTCTTAGTTAAGTAAAAGTATTTTGCTAATAAAAATCCATTTGTGATTCAGGTAGCATCTCTAAAATTTTCAGTGTAATTTATTTTTTACCTTAATATAAAAGTATAAATAAAAATGGTATCATTTTGATGGCAAAATATTTTAAATTGAACTTCCTGATAATAGAAATGTTTTAGGGATACTTGATTCATTTGGTTATATAGTTCTTTCATCTAGAGTATATTTTAAAAATAAAAATTTTATACTTTTATTTCATTTTGTTTTACAAAGTTATGGAAAGTGAAGATGGATAAGTTTTGGGTTATAAGTTAAAGATAACCATGTGCATATTTTGGGAAATTGTTCTTTTACATAGTATATGTTTCCAAAAAGTAATTATTTAAAATTGAAACTATTATACCTTAATTAGCAGTGAGTGTGAAAACCAAATTCAAAATCTTGTATATAAGCAAATCATTTCTTTGTATGAAGTTTGATTTTTTTTTACCATTACTTTAGTTTACCTTTCTGATACAGGATTTGGAAGATAACGTTTCCCCCTTGAAAATATGTTTTGTTTTTTCTATTCTTTTTATCTCAGCAGTTTATACCCTATATTACCAGTGTTTTCTTTCCTCTCTACAACCCTTCTCTCTGTCCACACACCATTTCTTTATCCCATAACTCTACATCTCAAAGAAAATATAAACATTAAATGCTTCTCCTTAGGCAGTGTAAGCTATATTATTATAAGATTCATATTGTGAGTATGAATTGTGGTCCCTGTTCATTCCTGAATAATTTATTCTGTTTGATTTGACCTGTTAATCAGCTGACTATGCTTTGACTCTATACATTGGTGTTTTACTAGCATAGAAGTCGTTGAACAAAGATTACACAATTTTGCCTTCTTTTAATTTGATTTGGCTTAAACTTTAATTTATTTTTTAAACATTTTTATCATTATTTTTCACACTAGAATTACAAATCTGGAACTCTAAATGTGTATGTAAGTAAATTCATTACAACCTAGTACTTTTTATCATATTTGTTATTCCTTTCCCAAGGTTTCATAGTCACTCCTTTTTCAGTACTCCAAGAAAGCAATTGTTTGCAGATTAAAAAAAAAATACTAGTTTAACAATTTTTCTTTTTTATTCCATAAGAAATCAGAGGCTTTTAGAAAAAATATATCACAATAATTTTTATTTTTTTACTGATAATAGTAATTGAAAATATTTATTTTGTATTCTGAATTAAATTGTCTTTCATGATGAATTTGGAGGATATTGTCTTTGAAATTAATTTTAATGACAAGCTTAGTATACTTTGTATTTAATATTGCCAAGTTTCTTACAGACACATGTGCATTTATATGACAAAACAAAACCATTTGGACAAACTTGTTAGAGTTATTAGTCATTTTGTTGAAATAAATTTTCCATTACGGTTAACATTTTATCTTAATTCTAAGGTGGACTAGATTTAGAATAAACTGTTGTAGTTGCGTGTGTGGTTGGATACAAGAAGTCTATAACATCTACTCATTAACATTACCATGTGATATGAAGTTATATGTCTAAATATGTACAAATTGGGTTTCTGGGAGTCTTCCCTGAGAAAAAAAATGACTAGGTGTGATGAATTAAATGTATTTTTGATTCAGAGATATAGCATGTCTCCTCATTAACTACAAGAAAGCTTTTCAGAGATTCAGTGTGGGATTTCCCAGATTCAAGGGCTATAGTCACTCAATCCCTTATTGATTCTAAGGATAGCCTTTTATGTCCACAATTATTCCTTGTCTTACAACAAAAGATACTTGGAATTTTCATATTTGGTTTAAGCTAACTATTGAAGCACATGTGTTATCTGGGTGAGGAAATAGTCAAATAATTATCTGCCACAGAAAGCTCATATGACCTATGTCCTTGAGGAGCAGGGGAAAATCTTGGCCATGGTGTCCTGGATTGCTTGGACTATGATTTACACCTGTTCTCCTGATGTGATTATTAATAATTTTTTCATTACTCTCAAATGTGTCCTTGTTTGGAAGATAATTGTATGATCTTTGTAATATTGTGGAACTCAGGTGATAAATGGAGAGTATGAGACACTATGGAGAGGTGTGAGTGAAAGCATCCAGAAAGAAGATGGAAAAATATGATTCATTTAAATTTCACAGTGTTGTAAATTTTTCTTGGTTTAAATCTTGGTGAAGATGTACTAGGTATTTTTTTTTTTTTTATTGTTTATGGACAGTTCAGTGTCAAATTAGTTTTCTTTATACCACTCAATTTCTGAGATTTTTTTTTTCCCTTCCTGCCATTTATTGTATGCTGAGGAAATGCAAACTAATTTGCTATTAGTCTAAAGAATATAAAATTGTAAAGGTAAATTGCATAGGGAAAACATTTTTTCCTTAAATCCCAAATGCATAATAATAATCAACACTTACATGTACTTACTATGTTCTTCATATATTATTATTTAAGAATTAATACAAGTAAAGCACTTAAACACTTAACTCATTTAATTTTCAAATCAACCCTATTTAGTAGGTACATGTATTATCCCTTTTTGTAGATAAGGAAGTTGAGACGCAAAAGGATTAAGTTTCTTGTTCAGGGTCACAGAGCTGTCAAGAGGTAGAGCCAAGATTCAAACACTGCCATCTAGCCAGTCTATGCTGTAAGGCTGCCTCTCAAAGATATATGTGTGTGTTTCAGTATATGTTTTAACTTATTTATTTTATGTTATTCCTGTTCATATAATTCTCCTTATCTTATCAAAAGATGAGCTTTAGTTTTATTTACAAAATGTTTCTACTCTTATCCCACTCTTATGTGGTTATTAAAAATAAAAATAAAATTATAGAGTTTTATAGATGTTTTAAAAATAGTCTTTTTCTTATTGGACGAAAGTCAAAAAGTGCACACTCCCAGTTATAAGGTAAATAAGCACTAGGGATGTTATGTTATGATAAATATAATTAACACTGCTGTACGTTATATATGAAACTTGCTTAGAGAGCAAATCCTAAGAATTCTCATGACAAGGAAAAAAATTTTTTTTCTATTTCTCTAATTGTGTACCTGTATGAGATGATGGATGTTCCCTAAACTTACTGTGATAATCATTTCATGATGTATGTAAGTCAAATCATTATGCTATACACCTTAACTTACACAGTGTTGTGTGTCAATTATATCAGCAAAACTGGAAGAAAAAAAATAATCTCTTTCAAAATGTCCACTACCTAATCATTTTCTTTTTTGCCAATAGATATCATGTGTCTCTAGCCTTTGACCTCTGTTTTGAGCTCTATAGTTCTAATTTCCTGTTAGATATTGTTACCTGGAGCTTTGTAGGTAGCTCAAGCTCTGTCTTTAATCATTTTTTAAAAAAACTTTTAGTCAAGAATCTTTTAGTGGCCGACTTTAGTACTTTTTTTTTCTTTTCTTAAAAAAAGGAACTTATGCTTTTAAATAACTGAGATGTTCAAAAGATTGGGACTAGCTTCAGGATTCAAATGGTGTTACCAGGACATCTCTCTCTCTCTGCATCTTAAGATATGGGTTTATTCTTGGATAGGTTCTTTCTACCCTGTGTTAAGGATAGACATTGGCGACTCCAGGTTTACCATTATCACAATTTATGTTCTCAGGCTAAAGATATCTCTTCCCTTCCTTTCCAGTATTTGTTACTCCCCCAAAAAGATTCTGATTGGTTAGTTTGGGTCACCTGCTCATCCCTTGTGTGCAGTGCTAGATGATTGATAATCCCATGAGAAATGCATTGAGTGGGGCATGCATGCTAGGCAAAGGTAGCTATGTACTTTAATAATTGTTTCTCTTCTTCACCGATTCCCTATAACCTGCTTCTTTTTTATTTCCTAACACTGGAGATGTCACAGTCTTGGTCCAGTAATGCAAACTGCAAATCTGCAACTCATTCTTACTATGTCTCTTTACTTTTACATTCAGCTAGTTATTCAGCAAGTCTTGTCAAATCTACTTCTCAAATGTGTCATGAATTCATTCTCTTCTAACCACATCTACTGCCAGTGGCTTCACTTAGGCTTTCATCATGTTGTACCTGGATAAATACATTATTATAGCAGTTGGTCCCCTGCCCCTGTATCAGTTCCTTTATTTTGGAGTCATCCTCCTAATATGTTAATCTGATCATCACAGTTCCTTGATTAATATATTTCAGTGACTACCCATTACCTGCAGTATAAAAATTTCATTATCCTTAAACATGGCATAAAATGCTCTTCATGATCAAAAAGACCTCTGATAACTCCTGCCATTTTATATGTATCATCTTTGTCTATACTTTTTATTCCAACTATGCCAAACTACTGGTAGTTTTCCAATACTCCCAGGCTTTTCATTCTTCTCTCAATCAGGCTGTTGTTTTGGCCTAATTTGCTTTTTTTTACTTCTTTGCCTGGCCAAGTCCTATTTTTTTTTACCTAGTTTGACTTGAATTGCTTCCTAGAAGCTTCTCCTAACTCTGCCTGTGATCCACCTATAGAATTTTGTGTCCTCTTTGATTGAAAAAATTTGCGTTTTTTTGCTTCTTTATTAGATGTGTGGCCAATGAAGGTAAGGGAATGTATCTTATTAATTTTTGTATCTCTCGTGTTGTCTTATTATAATCATTATTCAACATATGGTAGATGAATGAATAGCATGAATGAATGAAAGCTTACTATTTTTGGATCTACTATAATTTGTTAAATGTAGAATTTTACCACATTTAAACATGGAACACAGACCTAAAATATACCTCAGAGGTCTTCTCTAAATCTCTGGAGAAGTGTAAATAAGATGAACACAAACTTGTAAGTATTCTTTGAAATTCTTTTTTTTTTTGCGGTACGCGGGCCTCTCACTGTTGTGGCCTCTCCCATTGTGGAGCACAGGCTCTGGACGCGCAGGCTCAGCGGCCATGGCTCACAGGCCTAGCCGCTCTGCGGCATGTGGGATCTTCCCGGACCGGGGCATGAACCCGTGTCCCCTGCATCGGCAGGTGGACTCTCAACCACTGCGTCACCAGGGAAGCCCTTCTTTGAAATTCTTAAGCATATTTTCTATGCTAAAAACATGATTTTTTGAAACATTATCTTATTCTCTTTTTAACTGCATCAGATCATTGGTTTGAAATCATGGGTAAGAACTTTTTAAAAATTTAAAATAATTATTTTTGTGGTCAGGCAAAATCTAGTTTACTTGTGGAATGTTTGCTATTGAATGCTAGCATAAAATGAGATCTAAAACCTAGGTGTAATACTTTGGTAATACTTAAGAAGCTATTTACTAGCCATATTATTTTGCTATTTCTGGATGCCTCCAGAAGTAGATGCTGGGAAAAGATCATACAGTGGAGTAACACTGTGGAGCTGTGGTGGGAGTGGTCCACTCTGGGTGCAGGTAAAAAGAGGCCGCATTGTCTAGAGAGAATTTTAAAACAATAATAAAGCTGTTTTAAAGTCAGTCAGCTCTTTATTATCACCATGTGCTAGCAATTTTAAACAGCATTTCTTATAAAATGCTGTTAATCCCCAGGGCATGTGATTCCCACCATCCCTCTCCCTCTTGGTGTGCCACTAAGATAACATCCATGTTCTTATTAGATCTACCCCAGTTCTAAGTCTTCACTTCACTGTGACTTTCATGTGTTATTTTATCCCTATAGCACACAACTGCATTACATTTTTCAAATAAATGTGAAAATTTAAGAAAAATAAGGTCAGCTGTTATTTAAATCTAATTTGCTAGGTAACAATGACTATTAGATGGTTTAAAATTTATCATATTTATTTAAATATATTTACATATATTTAAATTGATAAGATATATAAATGTATAATTGACTTCCTTTCATTTGCTAAATGGCATTGTATGTATAGGGCACAATGCTAGGTTTCTAATTTTCTGTTTGTTTCAGAGTTTAATTAGTGCAAGGCATTCTGTAATGAGTTTAGTTCCTAGTTTGTTAGATCTTAACCTATCATCTTATGTAATTTTCTCCTCTAGGATACTCCTTTTGTAATATTAACTATGTAGTACTTTAGAGAAATTAGTCTTAAAATATAAATAATTTTATTGCTAATTATTTCAGCGATACTTTTATGATTAGCTTGTACTTCTCTTGTAAGGCCTCTATGGTTTATTCAACCAAAGAATATCTAAAGTTAGAGAATGACTTGGCTGTGTATTTTAAAACCAAAAAGAGAGGTACAAATGGCATCAACTTAGGACTAGAACTCCTGCTTACTGTATTGTTAATATACATTTTCTGTGTTATTGTGTAGTAAATAAGACTATATTCACTTTACTGTGGTTAAATTTAATTACCTAGTATTAATTACTGGTAAAATTGATTAATGTAACCTCTGGTGCCGCTAAAAACTGTACCCTTATTTCCTCATTGTAGTTGTATATTTGTGTTCTCTAAAGCCTGAGAGAAAAACTCACTCATTAATTGATTAATAATTTTTAGGAACTTATTTTCATTTAATGAAAGCTTATAATCTTTTTTTTTTTTTAATTAGAGTCGAGTTTGCCCATTTCTGGTAGACCCTTCTTCCCAAGCTACAGAATGGTTAAAGACACATTTGAAAGACTCACGTTTGGAAGTTATTAACCAGCAGGTGTGTATTACTTATAATTTAGATACCAACTAGTAATTGTATCTTGTGGTGAAAAGAACTATAATCAGAAAACATAGATTCAAAACTGAGTCTTATAACTTACCTGGTATGGGTCCTGGGAAGGAAATGTAGCTTTCTTAGCTTTAGTCTTCTAATTTGTAAAAAGGAATAAGAATATTTGTTTGATTGCTTCTATATGCAACGTGTTGATCTAAGCCCTGGGAATTTATAAGTGAGTAGTTCCTGCCCTCATGGAGATGAAAATTAAGTAATTACTTACACTAAACAAATAAGCATTTACACTAAATTATGATTAAAGACAAGTATAGGGTGCTATAGAAGTAAGTTACTTAGTCTGGAGAATTAGGAAAACCTCCTTGACTTTTTAATTTCCTGTTCCTGTAACTCATCAATGAGCATCTTTGTTGTGTACCAAGATTTGACAGTTGGTCAGTGAAATGTAATCATTGTGTTTTGTGTAGTGACTTTTCACTGTCATGTTTATCTCACCAAAGAAATTATTTTTGGTCAGTTTTTTTTTTATTGAGGAAGGCCTAGTGTATGATTAATTTTTGTAGATATGCTTCAGGTGCTTGAAAAATTACCTCTTTAAAATGTTCTTCACTTACAAAATGGGGATATCTAACTCACTTGTGTTTAAGAATAATTGTAATATATTTATATAATATATAAAATATTTAATGTCACTTATGGTTGTAGTAGGAGATCTTAATAATTATTATCCAAATATTAAAAATTTTTTTAACCACAGTTGGAGGCTTGGAGTGGTATTTAAAATGACTCTTTACCTAGCCAGAAAGCCTAAAAATTCTTGAATGGTTATAGAATTTTATCTAAAGGTTCTTTTCACAGTAATTAGAACTATCACATCAAGATAAGTTTACTAGAATTCATCATCTTGTCTTTCTTCTTCCATTCAATGTACGATATTGAATACAACCAAAGTTTTTTTTTTTTTTTTTTTTTTTTTTTTTTTT